TGGCGGGGGTCCCACGCAGGATGGGCTGCGGGAAGGGCCGAGATTTTGCCCTGTCTCCCCGCCGTCATGCAGCGCAGCTCGGTTGCGATTCGGGAGAGGGGCTTCCTCCCACCCCCTCGGGGTCTTGACACCCGGCGTGCCCTCCCTGCCTCTTTGCCGCGGGCCTAACAAGAGCACTTTGGATTTCCCCAAAATTAAGCAGTTTAGGGCAAAAAGGCCGTTGTACGGCAGACGGGGGAAACTGAGGCAGGGAGGCGCTAGGCAGCTCGTGCGGGGCAGGGACTGTGAGAGCGATGCTGCGGCCCCGGCCCGCTGGGGCATGGCCCCCCCCAGCACACGGAGCTCCTCCATGCCGCCCCAGCCCTGGCTGTGCGGTAGGTGTGAGCGTTTCACAACCTTTCCAGGTCATTCACCTGTACCAGCGCTGGCAGCGGTGAAGTAAGCCCAGATGACTCAGAAACAGCAAGTCTCACAGATCCTTATCATTAGACCGACACTCCTCGGAGAGGGGGACGACTGTTGGGGGTCCCCGGATCCAGCTGCCAGCCGGCTGAGGACTGATGGCGAGGACTACTATATACCTATGCTCTCTCAGGACCTCCACCACAGCCTAGTCTGCACCACCAGCCCGCGTATAGACCTGGACATTCAGTTTTCGCTGGGGGAAAGTTTCACCGGTTGTGTTGGTACAGTTGCCCTGGGGGTCTCACTTTGCAAGCACCCCTTAGAGACCCTTCGGGCAGATGGCAGTCCTGGGAGCACCCTCCCTGCTCGTGGGCCATGTAGATGGAGCGGCGTCTTGAAGCACACAAGCATTTGCCTGCTGGGCTTCAAAATTCCACCTCCCGCACTGCCACAGCGTGAGGAGGTGAGCAGAATGGATCTGCAGCCCTACCATCCCAGGGGTCTGTTCCACCCAGGAAAGGGCTAGGCCAGGAGGGAGGCATCCCCTTAGCAGCCCACTTGGATCTATTTAAAATTTCCCCTGAAGTGTGTTTTAGCCACAGTGAACTAAGACAACTTCACTTCTGCATGAGAGTGCCCACAGGTGTAATACACTTTAATTAATATGCTTGAACTTCCCTGTTTTAGATAATTAGCCCTCCTTTGACTGAGTGCCCCCTTGCCATCCTAATGTTTCATCTCCTTTTTCTTGGGGATCTTATACAAAGGATAAAAGCATGCTGGTTGTTTTATACAACCCTTCTCCCACCTCTGTAAATGCCCTTTAATAACGGGTCTTTCCTCCTGCAGCTTGGTATAGGCCAGGGATGCTCCTGGACTTTGCTTCTAGTTGTTCTTGGAAACCCCCTTCTCTTCCACCTCACAAACACCCTTAAGGATGCTTTTCTGGAGTGATGGTATCTTGAAATCTCCAGTAAGAGTTTGTGATCTCCTCCCTATCGCAGACTGAATCTGTGATTCAGCTACAACAAATATCCCATGGAAGACGAGGTGAGGAAGAGGAGATGGGAGTAAATATTGAAGAAGCAAAGATACCTGTTAATACCTATCTAGTTCTCCTTGCGGGGTTTGAGCCCCCTTGCCTCCAAATGAAGAAGGAGCTTCACTGGAGCTTAATCCCGGCTGCAACAGGAATTAAAATGCTGAAGCTTTTCCATCTGGGACCCAGATGGGATCCAAAAATCCTGAGGCCTTGCCTGCTTGACTGGAGATCTGTCTTGGTCCCGATCCTCCTACAGCTGCACTCAGATGATGTCCACTAAAGTCAGAAGGAGCCCTGTGTGCAGAAGAGCTGCCAGACCGGGCTGAGCTGGGCAGGAGATGAAAGCTGGCAGGCCGGATCCAGACCTGTAGCAAAGGCAGTGTGGGAAGAACGCCTACTCCAAGCACCTTTTTGTGGGGGATGTCAAACAGGGGCAAATATGTCCAAACCCTGCCAGCTGCTGCTACCACCCAAGAAGAAACGCCTGCTGATGGGATGTGTAGGCAGCTGGAGCTGGAAGGGGCCTGGGGAGGCTGGAAGGAGCCTGAGGGGAGGAGGGAGAGGGTCCATGAGCTGGGGAGAGCCCAGGCGGGGGGAAAGATCCAGGGGATGGGATTTCAGACCCCAGATCCCTTCCTCTTGCTCTCGCTCTGTCCTCTTGCAATGCAACTTTTGCTTTTATTTCAGTCTGAAGAACATCACTTCTGCTATTATCCTGGCTGATGACATATAGCATGATCTATTTATTTTTAACTCAAAAAAAATCTGAATTATGAACTTTTAAAATCCAGCTGCTAAATAGCTGCTGCAAGGCTGGCTTGATTGTTTGACCTGAAGAGCCACTTTGGTATTGCCATTTTGGGGCAAGCTGACAATAGACTGGAATCCAGTTTGAAGCATTATTTTTAAAATAAGGCCCTTGTTGGAGCTTCTGCCTTTGGTGTAGCGAAAACTGCGCTGCCATAAGGCAACGGTCCGATGCCCCTGGCTCCAGCTTGTAAAAATTTCTCCTTGATTTTGCTCAGTTGCATCATGCATTGCAAATGGGATTGCTGTTTTTGGCACCGATCAAAGCAGCGGATTTCACTGGAGAAAACAACAGATGTGTCCAAACCGTAACTGCAGAGCAGGAAAAGGCCCCAAATAAGGTGTGTTTCTGAAATCCTGCTCCCCCTTCCATGCTTTTCAAATAACCTTCACCTTTCTGATTAGCTGAATCAAAGACCTGGCCTTTAAATTGCTTACTGAATCACAGGCTGTGTAAAATCAGATCTGTGCCTTGCCTGATGGAGATATCTAGGCTTGGAGGAGCGACTACGTTTTCCCCAGCTTCTTTCCTTCTCGAAGGCCGGCCGGGTCTCCCTGTTTAGGCAGCACCGAGCCCGATGCTCTCTGCAAACAGTATGTGGGAAACCACCCACCGCTAAAATGCAAACACCTCTGAGGCACAGCGGAGTTACGCTGTGCAGAGGCTCAGCTCCGGGGGCAAAGGCACCTCCGTGGTCACATACACGTTGATTCTCGTGTTTGGTGTCATTACGGAGGGGTGACATGCAAATCACAGCTGGGGTTAGCTGATAGCATTCTCCGAGGTGTTTGCAATATGAGCAGGAAGATTCCCAGTTCCCAGGGGAAACTCAGCTGGGATCACTCATCTGAACCTTACTTTTCTCTGCCCTGCGTCACACTGGGCATGGTTGTGGGCTTCAACGGGGCTGAATGAACATGTCTAATTTGAACCCTAAGGTTTACAGATGATACCTCCCCTTACAGCCTTCCTAATGGAATTATTCACTACCTGTAATTATATGGCTAAAATAGTAAACATAGGTATTTCCGAGGACTGTAACTAGTAGTTAGAGGAATGGATGTCAGGGCTGCTGGTCTGCTCCTGACTCTCCCGTGAACTTTCTGCGTGGCCACTCTTCACGCAAGTGTCCCCGCACAGCTTCAAGCATGTGCCTTTGCCTACTCTGCCTCAGGACGAGACGTTTAATGAACGCTGCTCATGGCCTGGCTGGGGTAAGCTGTGATCACCCGTGCAGGAAGCTAATCCTGAAAAGTTCTGCAATGATAGTGTTTGGGGTGAGCAGCAAAAATCAAATCACTCCCTAAAGGAGGAAGAAAGGAAGTCTGGAGTGGAAACCCCCAAACTGTTGTCTGGGGAGGTTTGACAACTGATCCCGAAAGGTTTGTGGAAGTAAAACTAAATACCTGTGTTCTGAACGGTTCCCTTACTAAAGAAAAAAACCTCTGAACAAGATGAAAAACCAAAAAAACCCCTTCATCTTTCTGCAGTAACAGCCACACCTCTGATGTTTGCAATACTGGAAAACACTGCAGTTCATTTTAAAGACCTTCCTTTTACTCATCATTCAAATTTTTTTATCATTTTACAGTTTCCCTGGCTGACAGCACAAGCAGATGGTCTCCCTGAGCTGTGCACCTCGAACCTGCCAAATATGTGGCTAAACCCCCTTCCCTCCTAACCTGTTGCCTTCCAGTACAACGCCTGGTAGAGCTGCTGATGGAAAGGGTCCCCCCAAGCTCTCTTTAGTGCCCTGCACTCAACTTTTGCAGTAACTGAATGGGGCAGGCGGAGGTGATGGCACCGAGCTGGGCTTTGAAGACCAACCCACTCCTGCATAGCAAAGCGCAGAGAAGAGTTTGCTGGTTTAGCTAATCCACCTCCCCACAGCTGCCCCTGTGAACATTAGACTCACTAATCTGGCTGTGTAAAAAGAGGCCAGTGGGTTGAAGGTGGAATAAAATATAGCTTTGTAACACTAATAAATAAAATAGTAAGAATGCTTTGTTGACCTGCATCTTTGCATCCACCGATTAACAGCAGCCCCAACTGAAGTAGCTGTGAGTATCCCTGCTGTAGGCTCTCTCTTCGATATGCGTGCTCCAAGCTCACAGGCATAAAAGTCACCTCTAAATGCTCACAACCACCCAGGCTGGACAAGGGGAAGGGAAGATGGGCTGGTGGAAAACTTCCAGTCTCACCCATGACAGAAA